AAATGCACCACCACGACAGAAGTCATCATTTATTGAATTGCAGAAGGATGGTAGCTTTTTAGTCGGTTCACGTGTGAGTGAACTATTGGATCTTGTTCAACTATTTTCATCCTGTAAACTCGCCCTCGTCTTGTCTCGCATGTCTATTTGTATTCTGAAACTTTTCTCATGCCTTTGTCAAACAAATGATTTGAGTAAAAGGAAAAAATCTTCGAAAGACAAAATGTCATGCCTCAATTTCGATTTAATGTGCGTCTACATTCAGCCGCTTGAGCAACCGCCTCTTTACTGAACCAATTTATCACCTAGATTAAAGGGGTGTCAGATATTCAGACAGCCAGTTACCGAGGTGAATGCTAAGCAGTTTGACGCTGAGGTTGACTTTGAATTTTGCAAATTAAGGGACAAAATAGTCGTCAGGGTGTTCTACGTAACTCGGACAATAACACCGATCACATACTGTCACCTGCTGTGACGGGCTTCCAGTTCCAGATGGTCACAAGGGTATATAGTATTTCCCAGTCACGTATTCAAACGGACATCCACCAGTTAATGAACATTAATGTCATACTGTACATGTATTGTATCACAGTTGTACTAAGCTGTAGTAGTACATAAGTGTGGCAGTGGGTGGTATTCACTGGCGTTTATGGTGACGTGGGTTTTTTACCTGAAAGGTCCAAATGCTTGGGATTGAGGGTATAATCAGAGCTGATTATATTCTGGCATTTAAATTGTTTCAGATGGACGATGTTCTTCTTCTCGGCAGCACCCTTAGAACCTAACACGTCCCATCACCATTTGCACTCTCAGAATTTGTCGTTTCTCATATGAGAGGTGAGGTGAGGTGAAATTGGGTTTAACGTCGTGCTTGAGAATATTTCGCTCATATGACGACGTGCATGCGTGTGTATGTGTAGGTGCGGCTGCTTGTACTAGCCCAGACTGAAGCTGCTTTTATAGTGCTAGCCCACTGAGATACCATGCCGCAGTGAAGCATGGATACCCCACTCAGACACATTATACTGACTCTGCGCCGACCAGTCCTTGTTGTACCCATTAATGCCGAGCGCCAGGCAGGGAGCAACAAGTACCATATTTTAACGTCTTTTGGTATGACGCAGTCGGGGATCGAACCCGCGACCTTCCGCTCTCCGGGCGGACGCTCTAACCACTACACCACGGAGGCGGTCCTCTTACTGTTTGAGAGGCATTCTAGAAGTTGTGCAATGACAAGTCTTTATCGATGACCAACTTCTTTATTGTACAAAAGCGACGATTCGGTACAGATACTTATTCCTTTTTCAAGCATGAGATGGTGAATGTGTACAGCAGGATATATATAGGGACATGAGGGCTAACAAAGACAAAGGATGATATATATAGAGGATATTATATGAGTGCCCTTGTCATACTATGTTTACGACACGAGTGCCTAACTGTTGGTATTTCCCGAGCGAGAGCGAGGGATATACCGATATTTAGGCACGAGTGGCACGAAGATAATATTCTGTTTATTATAGAAGTCGTCAAATTGAGGAAAATAACCCAAATCTACCTTCAAACATAGGCTGACTACCCGCCGTCGCCGTATGTAGTACGCAAAGTTACAGAAGAAACGTGACGTCATAGCATTGTTCATGACGTCACGTCACCATGACAAAGTGATATTTTGCCCTAGGGCATCGTATGAACCCCGATATTTTCGCCCTCGTACAGGTACTAAATACTTTTATTTCTCCAAGGGAGAGTTTGGTACATAATAAGTAATATGAAGTTTAGGTATTTACACAATAAACATTGGCATAAAAGGAGTGGGGAGTAAAACTAAACTCACATTGGCATAAAAGCATGCATTACGTGAGGATTTTATGTGGTTAAAGATATTTATCACAGTCTATGAGAATGGGGATAACTAATTAGGCGAGGGGGGCATTAAATAGTTCACCACCACAAGTATCTATACCCAAACATCGCTATTTACAATAAAGAAGTTGGTCAGCCATAAAGACTTGTCGATACCTACTTAGATGTTACCCTAATTAACCTTCTAGTTCAGTGTCTGTCAACAGGGAGATAATCGATTTATCATATAGGCGATCGTTATTCGATCTAGTATTCGATCTAGCGAACACGTCCATAATGTTCTTTATATACTACGGACTGACGACAAGGAACTCCCTCTGACGAAACGTTCAGCAAAGATGTTTTTGAAGAAATTGTTTGTGTATGTGATACTTCTGAGTGTTGTATGTTTATTTGTAATTTTCATCAATGTGAACAGGTCATCATCATCACTTTATTTACACAAGCGGATCCAACATGATCCAAGGTAAGTATCGTCAGTTTCTTGATTATAAAGGCAATGAATATCGATGCTTACGTTGTGTCTGTGTGTGCGTGCGCTAGAGCGCGCATGTATATGAACGTGTGGTGTATGTGCGCATGTATGTGTGCGTGTGCTGTTGAATGTTGATATGATCACCATGGGTTATTAATTAGCCGCTCCTTAAGATATCAAGATGGTTCTCCACAGGATTCAATTTGTTTTTATATGGAAGTAAACTTTCACTATGATTGAACATTGTAAACTGAGTAAGAATTTGGGTCGTATTCTTATTTACTGAAAAGCACTGGTAAGTGTGATTAAATCCCAAAAGTATTTCTAGACAATTCTTTTTCTCAATCCCAATTTTACAGAACTTTAATTGCATGTTATGTTTGATCTATATTCTCTACACCTTCGCTTTAGTTTGTTTCTCCCATATAATGCTAACCAGGTGAATTTAAATAAAGGTATTTTATCTAATTTTAGCAGTGAAATGTAATACGACATGTGTGGTTATTTGATCCTGATATGATTGTTCTATGACATAAGATTCATACATGCCTGGTTTTGCTGCTTAAATCCAACAATATGTGATCTGCCTATATGCATAATCACGTTGTTGAATATTTAAAATATTTACACTTGATGCTATTTCTGGTCATTTTTATCCATCCATATTTGATGAATATTTTTGTCACTCACCATGTATCAGTGATTGCTTGTTATCGCCCTTTCGTTTGTGTCCGTATCACTCGCAGTTTTGTATCATACTCTCGCCTACTGGCATTATCGTGTTGATGTTTCAGGACGATGTAGCGATTGCCGTCGCAGGCACAATACACTGTTAGTATTTGATGAAGAAGATAATATACAGTTCAGTGAAAACGAATCACATACCAAAAATTCATTTTACAAAATGTTTGGTATATTTTGGTACTTAAGTAAAAAGCTATCATTTAATCAAATAATCATTTCAGTTAAAAGACATATTTATGTCAGTACTTTGAAAAACAATATTCCAAAATTTGATAACTTTATAAAGGCTTTAAAAGATATCTTTTCTGTTAAAAGCTTCATTGCCAAAAGGAAGAATAAAATGAATAAATTTGCAAATACATGGCATCCATTATTCCTAGTATTTAAACCGTACATGTGTATGGAGCAACTGCTTTTGTAAAATCTTGTTCTGATTGCCTTTTGGGAAAATTATCTTTGTTTAGTTATATATAAATTATTTAGTTTATGTATTTGTATATGAATTGATCTAACATTAGGAACAATAAAAACATAACGAATCACATATGTATTACCTCCGTAACGAGTGCCGGGACACGAAGAAAGCCAAGTAATTATTGACACATTTCGCAAAACATTCTAAGGACACATTTTTACTATTAAAGCAGTGGTACACATAAAAATACTTTGAATGAGGTGGTCTTGTATACCATCACATGGGGACAATAATGTAATGATACTTCAACTCCGTCGAGGGCAGAGCCACTAACAATCTCAAGCAATAATTATGATATACCTACATATAACATAACACAGTTTGTACATCAGAATGTGACAGTTATATTCGATTTCCGGTACATAAGCAATGTATAGATGAGAAACCACATTTACAATACATAATCCCTTTTAAATTTCTTCTACAGTACCATCAGCAATCGTGACTACTACGACAGAACACAAACTTACAAACACATAAAAGGAGACAGGTGGATTGTGCTCACAACGATCGCTCACCCCACTCCTGACGTCCAGTTTCTGGTCAACATTCCTGGGTGGAATGTAGTGGTGGTTGGTGATACCAAGACCCCGGTCAGTTGGAGGTGAACATAGCTTACTTATATTTATCATTTATTGTGTCATGCAGGAAGTTGAAGTACCCGAAGTCCATTTTATCTTAGTAAGGTGGCCTGTATTTGTTCTTTTGCGGTCTACCAGTTTTTATTTATACTATATAATATACCGAAATATGCTTTGTTTTAAGATTGATATGGTTCGTTTTATATCTAAACAGTGAAACTTTCCTTACTATTTTTCTGCTCTTTGAAGACGAAGGTTTATGAATCATTAACCCATTCTAATCGCGATATGACCGCAATATTGCCGATGGTATATAAAATTTGAACTCAATCATTCAGATCATAGGATATAACGGATAATGCTATACATGAAACGAACTTGAAGCAATCAACTTGGTACGAAAGTGACTGGGCGAATGAATAAAATCTCGGGCATCTAGTGACGAGAACAGTTATAAGTTATAACAAATGTCTCAAATTACAGTAAACATTGTCAAACAATACGACTATCCAAACAAATCATTTCAAACTCTAAAATATTCTCTTACCCTATACATCAATATTACATTTAATATCATTAAAAGGAAAGCTGAATGCTAACTAAAGCTAGACTCTCTTATATTAAAGAATAACTGATGCTGAATCATTTCTCCACAGATTACCAAACTGCGTGTATTTAAGCTTAGAGGACCAACAGAAACTGCCTTTCGAGACAATAGGTTTTCTTCCTAGAAACAGCTATGCAAGAAAAACTGTTGGATATCTATATGCTATTTCTAGAGGAGCACAAGTCATTTACGAGACCGATGATGACAATCGACCAATAGACTTACTAAATAACTTCGTCCAAGAAAAAAACAATGTGGGGATTGATCTACAAAGGAGGGTCACACTTCAATCCATACCGACATTTTGGACAACCAACTTTGTGGCCAAGAGGCTACCCTCTTAGTTCCATTGGAGAAAACATCTCTACTGAATATGTACTGAGTCACTGGAAAACACCATCTATTCAACAGGGTATGGTCAACGGTGACCCGGATATGGATGCCATTTTTAGACTGACCCGGAAACAAACCCATTCTCAGCTCAATGTGACCTTTGATGACCGAGCTCCACCAGCAATTGTTCCAGCTGGTGTGTTCTCTCCCTTTAATTCCCAGAATACACTTTTCCTCTATGATGCATTGTGGGCTCTCTTGATTCCAACCACAACTACCTTCCGAGTATGCGACATCTGGAGAGGCTACTGGGCTCAGCGACTTCTTTGGGAGATGGGAGCAAACCTCGGATTCTTTCCACCAAATGCATTCCAAAAGAGGAACTTACATTCCTACATCAGGGATGCTGCGAATGAAAAGGATTTGTATTTTGAAACTGAACGTCTTGTCGACTTCCTTCGAAAGTGGACATGTGAACCAGACAAAACATTCTTTGCTTGTATGACTAAACTGTCTATAGACATGGCACATGAGCAATTTTGGAAGACAGCGGATGCTGACCTCATTCACTTCTGGATCAAAGACCTCAAAGCTATGGGATACAAAGAACCAAGCCGAATTCCATTTGGTTCCCTTCAAAACGGCGTGCAAGTCATACTAGATTCGAAATTGCCAAATCAAACTCGCCTGACAAATCAACAGGTCAATGTCACATTCTGGGCAGCTGAACAGACACCACCTCTAGTATATTCCACATGCAAGGTATCACCAAATGTTGTCTCACACATGAGGGAAATAGCTTCATATTGTAACAATTATACCAATCGTTCGTTCAGCATTTTAGAACTGAGCGTTCTCAATCAAATTTATACATATCCTAACCTTCTATTAATTGTTGTTTTCAACGTTCCTCACTATGCCAACCTGGAATTTCTTCAGAAAATGTACAGTTTGCACTTCCCACACGTTGTTTATTGTGGAACCAACAAATATAAATTTCAAAATTACTCTAAGCTTCTCCGCACGCATCGGACCTTTATAGAGGTTGACATTGGTGGTGGATGGTTTGCTCAGAACTGTCTAATTCAAGCCATGAAAATGCAATACACTGTTGATGGATATTTATACATTGGTGACGACGTATTGCTTAATGTGTGGAATATTCATACCCTTCCTTTCGACAGACTCTGGCTTGTCAACTCGTCGGTTTTGCAACCGACTGACAAAACGAAATGGATGTGGTTTTCAAATCCTAAAGTTGGTTTAAAAACGTACCAGACTGCCCTTGCAGCTTTGAAAGTGGTAGACACACATAAATATGACACTTTCAAACAAATGATATCGACAAATTCAAAGAAAAGGATGCACTATTTTATGGCGGATCAGACATTGCTTATGTTCCTGCAAGATACAAAGATGAGGTACTATATTATATGGAACATTTTTCAAAATTCAATCTGTTTGTTGAAATCATATTTCACACAGTGTTTGGAGGTACCGAGGAGTCGGAAAACGTGGTAAAGATACCGGGAACATATTTATGGTATGATGGGAAAAGGGACCACTTTGAACAGTATTACAACAAGCGCAAGGTTTTTCTTCATCCTGTTAAAATATCTAAATTAGTGTCTGAGCCAGAAGGAAGAAGGTTTTTCTGTGATAAATTCCTGCCTTTCACGTTACATGACTGAACGGAAGAAGAATATACCAAACTTTGCTCACCTGGTTACTAGTCAGGTGGTGGCATGTTAATCCTTCGTGCGTCCTAAATATCTTGTTCTCAGAAAACACTGGCATAACAGAAATTAAATTACACATATATGTTTCCACCAATGGTTACACCCCATGCTGCCGAAGAGGTTCAATTTAGTTTTACGTTAATCATGTTAAAAAACATAATTGGGTCATTACTTTGTCATTTTTTTCTCAAAATGAAATGTAGTTTTGTACACTTGGTTAGCAGTGGGCTACATGTCATATAATCTTTCTACATTCTGTGTTTGATTATACCATTGTACTTTGCCATTACGTTTTGCTTTATGACATCTAATCTCCAGATCTTAAGAGGTTAGTTTTCAGACAGTATTTATGCAGTATTTACAATTAGCAAATGGTTATACGTGTCTGGAATGGTTTTGATTTTACTAACATCAACAAAACGGAATCTGTAGTTCTTTGTTGGCATTCTTTAAGAATGTAAGACAGGGAGAGATGGATTTGGATTATTTTTGTCATTTTCAACCGGTTGATATTAGCTCAAAATACACGAATCGTAGCGTTTTTAAATCAGGCGAAATACACCAGAAAAATTAAAATGTGAGATGCATAATAAATATAGGATTAAAATTGAGAGATAATATATTGTTTAACGGCCAGCGTGATTTATTGATAAATCATATTGTCAGGATATCAGCCAAATTCCGATGATTGTATTGACAATTCTGTGTTAAGGAGGTTTAGAAGAAGTCCCGTGTGGCGAAAGTTCCGTTATCCATTTGTTCATAGTCATAACAAGGCGTGTAATTATCAGATCGGAATTATGTTTTGTTGTGTTCATTGTATTTTAATACCTTCGTAGATGGAGAATTTTTGTGTTTTCTTCCCAAAACACAATATCCATATTATATACCCCGAAACAGAAACTCAAAGTGCAAATGTAATTTAGATAACTGACGTGTTTTTTCAAGATACATAAGGAATTATACTTTCTTTCTAACAGTATGTTGTTACTGTATTAATAATTATGATTATTAATAGAATTATATTTGCCTTTACGGGAACAAATATATAGATGTTTCTGGGTGTCTTGTTTACGTGAAATAATATTCAAATTGTATGTTCTGATGCAAGCAAAATGTATGGTCTTGGCAGTAACTGAAACTTATATTCGCCTCAGTAAGTTGATGCTCTAGGGGATATGACTCTAATCAGCACACAAGTCCGTCTTGGGGTCCACACGATTTATTCTGGTCTAGTTACAAGGGGTGGCTCTGAACTCTGAGTTTCAGTCCGAATTGCCCAGCACTGCTGGTTCACAATCATTTATACCATCCATTAATTGACATAGCTGACATTCCTTGCCCGTACCCGGCTTTTCCCCCATTCAATGTTTGGTGTAGGTCCCTGTGGTCAGTTTTTGTCTTTCGCCAGGGTTATGTCTCCCCCCATCGGATTCTCGACCGATGGGGGGAGGGGTGACTCATGTCGCCAATTCGGGTTCCCTAATACGGAGACCGATCCGTGATTCCTGCCTCTGAAACTTGTAACAAGGACATGAGTGTGTGTTGCGATCTGACTGGTTAACACGCTTGTTGAATGAACTTTGATGAACATCTACTGCCATTAAATGCTTTTCTTGATCATGAACTGTATCCCAATTTTCTCACCCCAAATTTGACAGATTTCAAACCTACTATTCGATATGCATCAAAATGTCTTTTATCATTATTTATTGAAAAACATACGGCATTTTTTTTACATGAAATAAAATGATAATTAATACCATGTGCCTGAGATTTTACAATCTCAGGAAAAGTTAGAAGTCGATTCTGTCACAGGACAAGGTGATTTAACCAAGAAATTTGACTTAAGCTTCTGGTATATCGATAACCTGATATTCTTCGATAACCAAAAGACCCATGAAGGTCAGGGTTAGAATTAATCTTCAGTAACCCGCGCTTGTCGTAAGAGGCGACTAACGGGATCGGGTGGTCAGACTCGCTCACTTGGCTGATGCATGTCATCGTATCCTAATTCCGTGGATCGATGCTCATGTCACCGGATTCTTTTGCACAGAGTCGATATTTTACATATATATGAAACATTGAAAAGTGAACCGTTTACAACAAACAAACAAATTACGAAAAACATTGATTTTGCGCATTCTTCTTTGTTTCTAGATCTAGTTATAACTCTAGACATAATCCCAAATTATTCTAGAAGGAACTGAGAAATGTATCTAATGTCAGGAAGCCATCATCCGATACTTTTGATGAATCATGGTTTAATCACTCTAAATCACTGAGTGATAAAACTGATCTTACTGATCAAGATCAATATATCTATCCCTTTATATGCTTCAGAATTGTGGGTATATAAAAATATGAATGTATCAAGAAAATCCATGTTTCGGCTTGTAACTGTACCTAAACGTTGGATCCCAGACACCTAATGCTAAAGTGTTTGGTGAAAGTGGTCGTTTCCTATTTTTGTAAATGCAGCTTATCGTTGGCTTACTACTGGATTAAAATAACAACAATGCATAAAGATCGCATACCAAAGAAAGCTTATGAAATGTTACTTAATTTCGATAACTTTGGCTGTAAGACATTGGCTTAAAAAAATCGCTTTTGCTCATTTCTTGTGGGTCTGGATTTGTTTTGCTGTAACAAACTGTTAGAAATCGTGTAAGTTTTATCACAAAACGCGTTTAGTGGAGGTTTTATACAAAACTGGAGATCGGATCTTGACAATAGTACAGGTTATGTCTTGTATAGAGAATTCAAAAGTTTATTAAACCATGAAAAATGTCTGTTTGAAATTATATATTATGTAAATATGTAGTTACATTTAGAGCTGGATTATTAAGGTTAACATTGAATGAAGGACGATTGTGTAAAATTGTGTAAAACACAAATCTGAGAACATGTCCTGTATGCTACGGAGGTCAAGAAGACGAATACTGTTGTACTTTCATTCATCCCAGATATGATGATTTACGTCGTAAATATTTATCAAGTGACTTCAAATCGAATATGTCTGACTTTAAGAAACTACTTATCACAAATAACGTACATAGTTTGAAAATGCTCAGCCTGTAAATGCTGCACTCTAATGAACGAAGGTGTAAGCTATCACAAGAATGAAAATGTTAAACACCATATTATACTTTCGTACATATATCATACCTTTTATGTACTTTATCCATATTGTTCTGAGGATTTGTATACGTTTGCAGATGTGTGTGTGTGTGTGTGAATATATATATATATATATATATATATATATATATATATATATATATATATATATATATATATAATTATATATGTATTGTAAATTGTATTGTATTGTATGAAACTATTTATATGGGCCCGATGACCTTTGTACGGAAATAAAGTTTTGATTGATGGACTGATAGAAAGGTCATCAAACGTTCTCTACTGAGCGATCATCACCAACAAGCACGTTTGGTTTGGTTTTTCTTACGGCAACGCTGTATCTGAGAACTTGGCGAAGAATACATTGGTCTGCTGAAAACCGATTCCTTCTTAGTTCCACCCACGGCTTTAAGTTGATTCTATAACAAATATATAATGTCAATGTCACAGAACAAAGACTCTCCGTCATCCAACAAAAAAGGGTCCTTCAAGTACAGTTTAAACTGTAACTTAACGCATAAGAAGACGAGTGAGAATTTTGCTGCAATTTCGTTTGATTAAAGATCATGGTCAAAAGGAATTGAGCTCAGACTTGTTCTTGGTATATATATAGTGTTTGGCCACTAGGAAAATATCTTATTAACAATATGCAAACCAGGCGACTAAAGTTACCATTGAAGCATGTGAAATAAACCATTGTAGTATAAAGCCACAGCTTATGATTGGTACTTGTACTTCGCGAATTTCAGTAACACAGCACTGCAATTAGCACCAAGCAAATAATAATGATAGTATAGTGCTGGACAGTTTGCAAGTTTTGAGTGACACGACACATTGATGAAGGCCAGGGAACGGGCACGCACGCACGCACGCACGCACGCACGCACGCACGCACGCACGCACGCACGCACGCACGCACGCACGCACGCACACCACACCACACCACACCACACCACACACAGATCAGTGCAAAAGCCTAACCAGAGTTATCTATCACCAGAAACAAAATCCGATTGGCGTAAAGGAATATATAGCTGTGTCAATTAAATGAATGGATCACTGAAAAAGGGTAAGCATGTCCTGCTCTATACATCACAATTATCCACTGTAGCTCGCTCACGCTGTTTGGCCTTTGGTTAATGCAATTTTAACAAAACACAGCAAATGTCATCCATGATAAAATTTAAACATTTGAAGATGTAATAACTTTGGTTTATAATTTGGCGACATGAGGTCTGGCGTTGTCCACCTGGAAGAGCATTCCTGGGCCATTCTGCTGGACAAATGGTATGACGACTGGAGTAACAATTTCGTCTCTCTACCTGAGACCCGTTAAATTTCCATTGGTGCTCGTGCTTTCCACCAAAGATGTTGTCTGTACCACTGCAGATGGTGACGTAAAGCATGATTTGTCGTCTGACAGGGCGTCTAGCACGCAGCCAGACGTCGGCGAATGGTCCTCGGCGATATTCTGTTGACACCAGGAACTGTTCGTGCTTTCAGTGTGGGTGGTTGGAATCTTTGGCGCAAAAGGGTGGTTCGATCGTGGCGTGACGTGGCGTGGCGTGGCGTGACGTGGCGTGGTTACAGGTGGACGGACACTTCGGGGACGGTCTGCAACGACGGCGTTTTGTTGATAACGTCTCCACAAGCAGCATATGGTGTTCCTGTGCACGTTAAACTGGGGCACCGTTGCGCTGGGGTGTTCCGTTTTCAATTATTCCAATGGCTCGCCATCTTTCATTTTCAGTTCGCAGTAGCATAGAGAAATGCTCGTCCAAATTTGTGTTTTTCGGACCAGTCGACGCCAAAACAATGATTTGGGTGACAATGATTCGAGGTTTAGAGCCACACTTTTTAACGGGAAAGTTTTATGCCTTTTTTCCCACGGACTTCTTGAAAGCACGAGAAACTCATACAAAACAAGAACTACCGACAAGGTCCTGTTTCAGTTATGGATTAAGTGTATTATAAAGAATATCAAAATGAGTTACACATTTTTGTCTCATTTACATAAACAAATGTGTTGATAACGCTTTTGCGTTAGGGTATATATTTTTCAGATGTCAATATTTTGAGTGGACGGGTTCGTAAACCCAGTTAGATACAAAGTAAAAGTCTCGCCTAGCGTATTTGATATGCGGTTAAGGTCCAGATAAGATAAAGTACGAAATAAGGATATAACTGTTAGGGTTTGTAATATGAAATGTTACCCTTATTCAATAAGCTCTTGATAGGGATATAGAAGTTGGTATTCAAGTATGAGACAGATATTATGGTCTTCTTCTTTATTTTATAAACGATGTGTATACAATAAAGAAGTTGACATCCATAATATTTTGACTTTATTATTATTATAGGATATTTATATAGCGCACATATCCAGGCTACTAGTGCATGCTCAAGGCGCTGGTATTTGTTCCCTCGATCATTGGATGTCAATATCAACGGCACATCGTATTATCAATCTCAATTCCCTGGGGAGTATACAACTCTTGCAGCCACTAGGCGCACCGAGTTATTGTGGCTTCTCATCCTAACGAGGTACCCATTCACAGCTGGGTGGACTTGGACACATAGTCACAGTACTTTGTCCAAGTTCACTGCACGTTGCTGTACCCGCAACTAGGTGTTTGCACGTATTCCTGGGGCCACCATCTGGTCATATATCAACGGATTCGTGGGTTCTTTTAAGTGCACAGGGTTGTGTACTGTACACTAGGGGTTGTGACAACACTGAAAGAGTCTGCACACAAGGTTGACTCCAAGGTTTTTACACCCGGTCACAGGTGGGCTCGATCTCGACACCTCACCTCGCTGGATCACTATCCTGGCGCCTTAGCCAGCTCGCCCACCGCGCCCCCGACTTATACATCTTCAATTAGGTTCTTTGTGTCTTGTTAGTGTGTCCCCCTGCACTGGACTCTCTTGGTAATATGTATGTTGAATTACTGATCACAGTTGTTCCACATGTAGATATTTGGAATTACTTCAATATCAAGAGTGATCTAACAAAAGAAACCAGTCTAGTCTCCAGTTTGACATACAACCCATGTTCGAAGGAATGCTTTAGTTGACTGGCTTTCTGTTCAGTGTCAACCGCCGAATGTAACTTGACTAGTATGTAGCGCGTTTGTTTATCCAAATGAGTCGCTCCAAAGCGTTATAAATATGTAATTCTTTGTTATCTGCTTTTGTAATTACCAACGTCAGAAACCCACTGGAGCCGTATATCAAGACATATAAGCTGTCTGTCATTAAGGAGTTTATAAGCAAGACGCATGATTAATTTAGCAACTATTTTCTGGAATCAGTCTC